AAAAAAAAAAAAAAATAAGGTACAACCACTCAAAAGTAGATGGCAGATTTGGTGAGAGGTAATGAGCTCCCCCAGCAGAGGAACATTCAAGCACAGTGAGCTTCTGCTAGAGGTTCTGGCAGAGAGGCCTGGCTGAGAAGCGGGTGGGGTGGACGTGCGGCCCTGGAAAGCAGCGCCTTGACTACATGTGGCTTTGGGGACACCTGGGGGAGCCAAGGGAGGAAGCAGCAGAGGGGAAGGCTGGAGAGGACTGAGGGAGGGTGGACAGGCTGGGCACGGCGGCTGGAGGGGAAGCCAGGCCGTGGCCCACTCTGCCCCTCCGGTCTGCAGGGCCTGCAGTTCGTGTGGCGCGGGTCCCCGTCCCTGGCCGCGCAGCAGGAGATCTTCACACACGTCATGGACCAGTTCAGCTACTGCACACCCTCGCACCTGCCCTTCTCCAACAGGTGCGCCCTGCTGGGCAGCCCGGCCTCCGCCCCATCCAGAGCGACCGGGACGGGCCCCAGCTGCAAACGGGGATGGGGGTGCAGGCGCCAGGCCTGCTCACTGCAGATAGCTTCGTGCCGTGCGACCCTGTCCCTAAGTAGGGTATTCGTTTCGGCTGCGGTTTTGTTTGGAGGTGGGGTCTCACTGTGTAGTCCAGGCTGGCCTCCCTGTGATCCTCCTGCCTCAGCCTCCCGAGTGCTGGGATTACAGGTGCGCGCCACCCCCTGAGACTGGGGTGCGGCAGGGAAGGCGCTGCAGTGTGGGGCCAGGACTGTGAACCCCAGACTACATGCGGAGAGGCAGCCCCAGTGTCTGCGCCTGGCTCGCCTTCCCTGAGTCACCGAAGAAACCCTAGGGCAGCCCCTCTGGGAAGCCTTCAGAATGCCCCGTCTTACAGAAAGAGAAACTGAGGCACTTGGCTGGTGAGGGCAGGGAGCCGGTGTTTGGTTCCAGTTATCATCCCAAAGCCTCACTTCTGAGCCACACCAGGCTGCGGTCACTAGAGTTACTTGGCCCTGGGTTCGAATCCAGCTCGGAGGAGAAGAGCAGGCTTGGGGTGGAGAAGAACAGCAGGTGGGGACTTAGCTGCCCCTGCCCCTTGTCAGGCCTGCTCTGTGCCTGGCAGTCTCCAGTTCCCTTCTGTACGTTGTTTTCCATCCGTCCCTGTGATCACCTCCTGTGAGCACTGGGGTTCACTGTGGCCGTGCACAAAGTGGCCCAAGACTGTGGGCTCCAGGTCTCAGACCCCCAAGGCCTATTCTTGGGGTCCAGAGTGTACCCAGCCATATTGGAGCCTCCGGCAAAGCGGGAATCTGTTAGCACTGACCCTGGCTTCGTGTAGAACTCTTGATGTTTTGTTGATCACTGATTTTTTAGTTTAGTTTGGTTCTTTTTAAAAAATATTGCATTAAAATATTATTTATCAAGTGAGTGGTGCCCACTCTTGTAGTCCTGGCACTCTGGGAAGCTGAGGTAAGAGAGCAGATGGGCAGAGAGATGACAGACAGACAGACAGACAATTTATCCTGACCTTTGAGACTTGTGCGCCCCTTGAATTTGCCTAGGTGAGCGCTCCAGCCTGCTCGGGTCCTGTGACGTGGCCAACTGGCCAGGAGGGTGACCGCAGGAGCAAAGCCATCGTGTGGGCAGCAGAGCTGCTGGCCCTCGGTGTGGGGTAACCCAGGGTGCTGCTGGCTTTGAAGCCTTCCTGCCCGGAGCACTCGCCTTCTGTTCCACCTCCTTGCCTGCAGGTCTGGCTTCTACTGGAACGGGGTGGCCGTCTTCCCAGAGCCACCCCCGGATGGCGTGTACCCCAACATGAGCGAGCCAGTCACTCCGGCCAACATCGCCCTCTACGCCCAGGCCCTGGTGGCCAACGTGAAGCAGCGGGCCGCCTGGTTCCGGACGCCCCACGTGCTCTGGCCCTGGGTGAGCGGCCTGCCCTGCACCCAGGCTCGTGGGCACTTGGGGGTCCTGGCAGGTCCGTCTCCCCTGCCAGCCTGGGCCTCACCCGCCAGCTCCCTGAGGGGCCTCTGCGTGCCGTTTCCTTGTCTGTAAAATGGGGACAGTGCAAGCTCTAGGGCTGGTCAGTGCCAGACGCCATCGAGGGCCGTCCCCAGCTGCTGAGCGCCCCCTGGTGCCGGCACTGTTCTCCAGGACGTGCTCGTCCGTGGTTTGAGCCCCGGCCCTGGGAGGCAGACATGGCTGGCATCCCGCTTTGCATTTGAGGGAAATGAGGCTCCGAGAAGCCAGGGAATCTTCCTGAGGCCGCACAGCCGCTTGGCAGAGTGGCTAGGAAGGGTCAGGATGTGTGTGGCGGCCACGCCAGCTGGCCCTGCAGCCTGTCCTCCCAATCAGGACTGAGAAGGTGAAGCCGGAATGTGTGAGCCATGGCTGCAATCGGTGGTCACCAAGTGTGCAGGCGCACACCTGTGATCTCTGCCCTCAGGGGCTGAGGCAGGAAGGTCTCTGCAAGTTCGAGGTCAGGCTGGGCTTCATAGTGAGTTCAAGGCCACCACGGACTACGTAGCGAGACCTTGTCTCAGAAACCAAAGGAACGAACAGTCGCCTGTTGTTGCAGTTAGCAGAATGGGAGCAATGGTGGGGCCCTGAGAGGTGCTGAGGGGTGTCGAGGGGGAGCCCTTATTGGCGCCATGGAGCCCTGGAGGCTGGGTGGGAACTCAGGCCGCCCACATCCCCCTGTCCCCTGCAGGGGTGTGACAAGCAGTTCTTCAACGCCACGGTACAGTTCGCCAACATGGACCTGCTGCTAGAGCACATCAACAGCCGCGCGGCCCAGCTGGGCGTGATGCTGGAGTACGCCACGCTGGGCGACTACTTCCACGCCCTGCACCAGCTCAACAGCACCTGGGGCATCCGTGACCACCGCGACTTCCTGCCCTATGCTTCAGGTACAGCCTCGGGAAGAGGTCCAGACAGCCACTGCGCCTCCGCGTCGCTCATCCAGGGCCTTCCCTGGCGTCCCCACTGTCCCAGGCCTTTCTGCTTCTTGTTGTTGGGGTCCTCATCTCCCGTCTCGGGCTGCACCCTAGGCCTGGCCCCCGGCAGGCTACAGACGGCACAGGCTGAGAACCCCTTGCTGCTGTGTGACCTTCTTGGGCTCTGTCCTGAGGGTGTTGCAGGCATTAAACGGGACTAGGAAAGCTCTTGGCCCAGCATAGAGGTCCGAGGAAGGGCCGGGCAGGCAGAGTGTTGATGTGACAGCTCCTTGGTCCCTGGGGCCAGGCTGGGTTGTGGCCACCCACGCCCTGCTCTGGATGTCACCTGCCAGCACCGAGGACACAGGACCTCAGGACTTGCCACAGGCCTGCCTGCCTCCGGGCACCTCTGCCAGTGGCCCTGGCCGTCTTGCTCCTCCGTCCTCTCCCCCCACAGCCTGCCTGGGGCTTACAAGACAGTGTTGGCCAAACCATGCAACCGTCTAAGATCTCTGCTGCAGAAGATGTCACAGCCCCGAGGGCCCTGCATCCTGCCCTGCCTGGGCACAGAGGGGACGCCAAGGTGGCGCGGGTGGCTGGGTGCTGGCTGGGTCCCCTTGAGTCAGGGCAGCTCAAGCCTCCTGGGGAGCTCTGCCCAGCACCTATGCTCACCTGCGGGTGACAGATGGGAGCCGCAGCAGGGGGCACATGTGTCGAACTCGGTTTCGTCAGTGAGGGGGCTCCAGGAGGATGGGGGACACCTGACGGAAGGCTCAGCAGTGCTCCCCTTCCTTCCCATGCCCTTTGCTTGCGGGGCTCATTGGGGCCTGTCGGGCTGGGCCTTGGTCAGCTTTGGTTTGGTGGGCGTGGCTACATGGGGAGAATGCGTGCACAGATGTGGGCGTGGTTACCTAGGTGGGAGCGGCTTGGCTACAGCCAGTGCGAGGTGGTTATGGGAGGGGTTTGTCTGTGGGCGGGGCCGCTGGGCTGAAGGAGATGCCTCCTGTAGGGTACCCACGCGGAGGTGGGCGTGGCTGTGTCCTGGTTGGTCTGGAGGTGCTGCAGTTGGACCTCGGGGCTTGGAGTTGCCCAGTTTGGAATCCCCGCCCCACTCACTCGGTTTTCCCACGGAGTTGTGGGAAGCCCTGTCTACCTAACCCCACAACCTGTGTCCCGCCTTTGGGGCCTGGCCCGGGTCCTGTGGGCGAGGAACAGGGAGTAGAAACACGGGCCAGCCCCGGGCAGGGAGGTGACACGGCGAGGACCTGAGCTCCAGCGGGTCTCGGCCGCAGTGCATCCTGGCCCTGGTCTGCTCCCCTTGGTCCAGGATCCTGAAGGCAGCCACATGGGTCTCAGCTCCCACCGCCAGTCCCGCCCCCTTCCTGGAGGTCCCTGCAGCAGTGTAACCCTGTCCCCGGGGGCAGGAGTCTCACACCCACCATCTTGCCTCCCAGAACAGCTGCATGCCTGGACAGGCTTCTACACGTCCCGCAGTGCCCTCAAGGGGCTGGCGCGGCAAGCCAGCGCCTTGCTGTATGCTGGGGAGTCCATGTTCACACGCTACATGTGGCCGGCGCCGCAAGGGACTCTGGACCCCACCTGGGCCCTGCAGCAGCTGCAGCAGCTCCGCTGGGCCGTCTCTGAGGTAACCTCACACTTCCGGCCCGCATTGGCGAGGCAGGGCCTCCTGTGCTGGGGCCCCCACCCTGTCCCGGCAAGCCCTTCTGGCCCGGCCTCTGACACCCCACTTCACAGATGAGAGGGCCCAGGTCCTTAGGGCGTGATGAGGCTGGGCAGAGTTCTGTTGGCATCCAGCTGAAGGCCGCGTTGGTCTGCCGCTGACTTCCCCAAGAAGAGTAGTGGACAGAGTAGGGTGGCATGGGGGTCTGGCAAACCTGGTGGAGCCCAGGTCCCAGCTCACCTGTGAGCTCAGGAGCACAGCCTCCCCTCTCGGAGCCCTGATTCCTCCCCATAGGGTGAGAGCATCTCCCTCCCCCAGGGCAGAAGGCAGTGGGGTCAGTAATAGTCACATCTGCCTCAGCACGGGGACTGCCCCTTTCCACCTGTTCCCCGTGTACAGTCGGGGAGTTGTAGACCCCAGAGGTCCTCTGAGCTGTCCCCACCAGAAGTGGCCAGGCCAGACATGCATTGTCTGTTACGGAAGGGGATTTCAGGCAGGACTTGTCCTTGGGTGGGGCAGAGATGAGCTGACATCAAAGTCCACTGGAGCAGTGGGCCCAGGGGCTTCCCTGTGAGCCTCAGTTTCCCCTGAGGGTTAATCTGGCCCCGCCCCAGATGCCCCAGTGGCGGCGAGGCTCACGCTGTAGGAACCTGGACTGGAGCCAGGGGAGGGGAGGGGAGGCTAGGCTTGGCTTGTCCTTCCCCAGGGTCCCCTGATGGCGGCTTCTCTCCCCGGGTCAGGAGAGGCTGGGCAAGGTCCTCTATCTCCTGATCAGGAGTGGGGAGGGATGCCCACCTTCTCCTTGTGGGCTTGGGTCCTGACCCCTCCTCCCCGGCTCTGGGGGCCACAGGTCCAGCACCACGACGCCATCACCGGCACCGAGTCCCCCAAGGTGAGCGACATGTACACGGAGCACCTGGCTGAGGGGGCCCTGGGGGTGCACAAGCTGGTGGCCGCCATCGCCGAGGACAGTGCCCAGCGCATGGCCCCAGGCTCCAGCTCAGGTAAACCTGTGGGAGGCGAAGGCTCCGTTCGTGCTGGGAGCTTGGTACCCCATGAGCCCCTGCCCGGCAGGAAAGGCCTTGGCAGTGACTCCAGCGCTCCCAGCCTCTGGTCCTGTTCATGAACTGAGGAAGGGTTGAAGTTACAATTAGGGCCACAGGGCCTGGGGTCACATTTTGAGTATTTACTAAGTTCAAAACACTCTGCATGGAGGATTTAATTTACGCTAGCACCCACCTAAAATCCCAAAACTCAGAAGGCTGAGGCAGGAGGATCACCTAGAGTCTGAGGCCAGCCTGGGACACATAATGAGTTCAGCCTGGATTGCATAAGCCTTGCCTCAAAAAGCAAAGTAAAACCCAAAAGCAAAAATCTCCATAGGACAAGAGCTATTGGTATCCTCGTCTTATAGCAAGGGAAGCAGAGTCGGACAGGCTTTGTCCTAGGTTCCATCCCTGGTCAGCAGGGGCAGAAAGGGATTTGAACCTGTGACCCTGCGCTGCCCTGCTGGGGGAGGAGTTGCCAGTTTCTCTGCACCTGGCCCTGTCCCAGTGCCTGGGGCTCCCTCTGAGCTCCGCTGGGGTTCTGGTCATCACTGGCAGCCATAGACCAGCCCCAGGGCTTCCAGGTGGGTAGTGATGACCCTGCGGCCTGGGACCTCGAAGTCCCCGCTGAGTCTGAGATGTCCACCCAGGCATGAGGTTCCTGGCCCCACCTGGTCACACTGAACTATTTGTTTTGTTCTGTGGTACTGGGAATTGAACCCATGGCCTTGGCACTGAGCTCCATACCCAGCCCTATTTGTTTTTTATTTTGAGACAGTGTCTCGCTAAGTTGCCCAGGCAGGACTCAGACTGTGGCTCCTCCTGCCTCAGAGTGCTGGGATCACAGGTGTGTGCCACCACACTAGCCTGTCACGTACTTCTTGATGTCCCCCCGCCTCTGCTAGAGTGCTGGGATCACAGGTGTGTGCCACCACACTAGCCTGTCACGTACTTCTTGATGTCCCCTCCAGCTTCTGCACTGCCCTGGCAGTGCCTGGGCTCTGACGGCCCAGACGAGGGACCCTTGCTGGCCTCAGTTTCCTTGTCGCTAAAGTTGGCAGATGGGGAGAGACATGGGAGCGGCTCGGGGGACCCCAGTGTCGAGGGACACCATGGGTCCCCCTCCTAGCTCTGCTCAGGACCTGCCCTGAGCAGATGTTGTGCACGTATTGATGTGCACCACCTGTCTACCTGCCCCTCGCCTGCTCTCCAGGGCTCTCTTGCCTCAGTTTCCCTTACAAAAAGGCACCCACATGTGACATGGGTCAGGGCAGCAGGAAAAGCCTGTTCTGTGTATAGGCGCAAGGCCTGCAGGACACCTGGCCTCCATCTACAACCCCCTGGCCTGGACGGTCACCACGGTCGTCACCCTGACCATCAGCTTCCCTAGAGTCAGTGTCCTGGACGAGTCTGGCCGCCCGGTGCCTGCACAGGTACAGACGCGAACTCCTGCTGTGGAGCGGCCTTGGGGCCCTTCGGGGTGGTCACGGAGGCCCTGGGTGGGGCTGGCCCAGGCAAAGGTCCCACAGCGGGGTAGCCCAGCCCAAGTTTCCGCAGGGAATCCGGGAGTCACGCGGCTCCCTTGGGCTCGTCACTCAGTCATTCGGCAAACACTCCTGAACACCCTCTCTGGGCTGGCCCTGGGCTTGGTGCTGCGTCCCTGAACGGAAGTGAGGACACAGACGCACAGGCACGGACATTTATGGTGTGGAGTGGTGACATGGGAGAAGGGAGCAGATCTAACCCGTACACCCATTCCCCACTGAGCGCAGGGCCCAGCAGAGACTTCCGGAGCTCCACCCTGTTTCAGGGGATGGTGAGCACCCCGTCCGGGGAGGGTACCAGCCAGGGCGCCAAGTCCACCTTCCCTCTGTCCTGCTGGCCTTGCAGGTCCAGAAGTCCACCAAGGACCCCTCCGCCTATGACCTGCTGATCCTGGTCACCATTCCCGGCCTCAGCTTCCGGCACTACAGCGTCAGGCCCACAACAGGGACCCAGGCCGCGGCCTCCGTGGCCAGCACTGTCCAGTTTGGCCGCAGACTGCGCCGCGCTGGCCGGGGGCACAGGAGCCTGGTGCCTGTGGCGAACGACTGCTACACAGTGCTGCTGGACCCTGACACCAACCTGCTGCACAGCATCCGGGAGAGGTGAGGCACAGCCCCGCAGGCTCTGTGCCAAGGGCCTGGGTTCATCCCTCGCTCGCCCACCCAAGGGAAGGACCAGGAGGGAGCGAAGCCCTTCCTGCCCTGTGATCCTCCATGCAAAGAGAGTGAGCCTGGGCTGGCACAGGACAGGCTGCGTACACCGTCTCATTGCTGAGCCGCTGGCTCATGGACGGGGTGTTTAGGGGCTCACCCTGAGGAAAATATGTTCACGTTGTCTGCTTCTTCAAGCCCGGAGGAGCACAGGAACACGCTGTCTTAGAACAGAAAGGGGCCTCCAGGATCCATTGTTTCTACTCACCTGTCCGCCCATCCGTCCCCACTTCTGCCTGTTCACCCGCCCCCCAGCGCTCTGTCCATCTGCGCGCCCATCCATTCACCCGCCGTCTTCCCCCCCAGCCCTCCATCCGTCCACGTACCTGTCCCCGCCTCCGCCCATCTCCCCTCCTTCCGTGCGTCCCTCCAGCCATCAGCCCACCTAGCCATAAATCCATTCACTCGTTCGTGGATTCATTCGGCAGCTGTTGTAGACAGCACCGAGGGCAGCTGCGCCCCGGGAAAGGCCTCCCAGCCAGTGTGGATCCAGCCCTGTCCTTCCTCGGGCCACGCCCAGGGCCTGTGCCGAACGCTGAGTGGCTCCTGAGTGAGCTCCTGTCAGAGTGAGGGCTGGGAACAGGGGCAGGGAGACAGGGGAGGCGAGGGAGGGCCCTGTACTGTGTCAGCCTGCGCTGCTCAGGCCAAGGGCTGTCAGCAGATCTCTGCCCACAGAGCACCAGGACTCCTGCCCGGCCAAGTCCATGGTCCACTGTCCCACTGAGCCTTCCTGGGATGGGCAGGTGGGAGTGCTGACTACCGACAGCAAGTACAAGTGGGACAGAGGTGCAGAGGGGCTGGAGCAAGGGCAGAGGGCCAGTGCCTCCTCCGGGCTGGGAGAGGGGGTGCTGCACCTGCTCCTTCACCACGCCCAGTGCCCTCTCTGCCAGTGCCCTGCAGGGCCGGCCCTCGCCTTAGCATTTGCTGGGAGCAGTGTCCTAGTCACGTTCATGGCCCTGAGACACAGTACCCAACACCCACAGCGTAAGGAAGAGAGGTGTGTTTGGCTCGCGGTTGGGGTTCAGTCCGTGGTCAGCGGGCTCCGAGCAGACCCCTTCGGTAGCACATCCAGCCACGAGCCGGCCATGGGGGGTGCACGCGGCACCCTTACATAGCGCCTTGCTGGAGATACTCACATCGCACACAATTCGCCCTCTAAGCTGACTCGGAGACCCTTCGCGCCTTCACAGCGTGGTGCGACCACTCCCCCAAGCCGTTGTAGAACATTTTCATCACCCGAGAAGGAAGCCTCCTGCCATCTGCCAGCCAGTCCCCTTCTTCGCTCTCCCCAAGGACCCGGCGGCCACTGCCCTGCTCCGGGGCTGTGGCTCTGCCAGCCTGGCCTGCCGTCTCACACGAGCTCGGACGCGTGGTCTGCTGGGCCTGGCTGCTTCCGCATCGCCGCAAGTTCTCAAGGGGCATCGTGGGCGGCAGGCGTCGGCCTACTTGTGCCGTGGCAGGGATGCGTCTCATTCCGTTTGTCTGACGGACGTCTGTCTGGTTTGAGAACCTGCCATGAGGCAGCACTGAGCTTCGCTTCACGAGCTTTTGGGTGGCCGACCTGTCGTTTGCCTTGGTGTGCACCTCGCACTGGGAGGCCACGTGACAGCTGCGCTTAACCACGGGTGTTCGCCACGTCAGCCACCTCCCGGCACCTTCACCCCCAGGGCCTGTTGTTTCTGACTTCCTGGGGCTGTGACGCGCCGTCTCAGGTGACAGTGTGCCCTGACTGCCGCGCATCTTCCTTGGTGTGATGTGGATGCAGATCTTTTGCCCACTTTGGAGTTGAGTTTTCTTACCCAACAGCCCCTTGCATATTCTAGGCACTAATCCCGGGTCAGATGCATGTGGGCAAGTCCTTTCCCCTCTTCCTGAGCCATCTCGTCCCGCTCTCCAAGGCCCTGGGCAGCATTTTGAAAGGATCTGGGGGGGTGGGAGAGGCAGAGGCCAGAGACTTTCTGTACCAGGCAGATGGAACTGTTCATTATTCCCCACCCGGCCACGACCCCATGGAAATCCCCCAGGTGGGTTTGGAGCCATCCAGTTCCTCATCCTGCACGCACAACAAGGCCAAGCCAGAAAGAAATACCAGATGCACCACACACATAGCTGCCCTTCGCGCATCTAGCCCGGCACTCTGGGAGGCTGAGGCAGGAGGGCTGCAAGTTCTAGCCCAGCCTGGGCTACTAGCCTCTTAGCAAGACTGTCTCAAAATAAAAAATAAAAAAGAAATTTTTTTTTGGCACTGGGATCAAACTCAGGTCTTTGCACTTGCAAGGCAGGTGCGAGGCAGGTGGTGGAACCACTGACCTAAATCCCCGGCCCTAAAATTAAAATTTTTAAAAAAGAAGGGCTGAGGATGTAGCTCACTGTGAAGGCCTTGGGTTCAAATCCCGTATCCCCCCAGGAAAAAACCCACCCTGCACCTAGGGCTCTGAGGCGCCTGCCCCTCCTCCTGGGCGGCCATGCTGCCCGCACACAACCTACAGTGCAGACCCGGAGACAAGGCCCTGTTGCCCCTGTGACTTCCTGGGGCTCCCTGCGGGGTGACTTCACCGCCGGCTCCCGGTAGAGCAGTTGTCACCCTGTCCTAGGCGCCATGCCCGCGAGACCTCGTCCAGGACATTGGTGATGCTACGCCCCCTCTTTCTCGTCCCTGCAGACACAGCAACCGGACGGTGCGCGTGACGCAGGAGTTCCTGGAGTACCACACCAATGGGGACCCCAAGCAGGGCCCCATTTCCGACAACTACCTGTTCTCGCCCAGCGGGACAGCAGTGCCCGCGTGGGAAGCCGTGGAGCTGGAGATTGTGGCAGGCAAGCTGGTGACTGAGACCCGGCAGCGCTTCTACAGGTGCTCCCCCAGGCCCCACGGCGCACACCGCGGCGGCCTCGGCTCCGGGCCAGCTGTTGCCAGAGGAGAATTTGCAGAAGCAAACCGCTTCAGGCTCTGCGTGTGCTTATGTGGGTCATGCTGGTCATCAGCAAGAAGGGTCCTGTCCTTCCACTGAAGGCCCGGGCCAGGCACAGCAACTCTGCGGTCTCAGAGACCTAGGTCCTCCTGCTGTGTTGTTGCTCACTGCCTTGGGCTGTGCGGGTGTCCTCATGGCCCAAAAAAGCTGCCTGGCTGCCTGCCTTCCCCAGTGCAGGAAGGAAGGAGAGCAGGCAGGGATGCCCGAGGCTCCTGCAGCTGCACTCCCTCACCTGTTCTCCTCCAGGGACGCCAGGGCCCAGGCTTACACATACGCCATCCACTCCCGGCTGGCCCACGTGTCCCAGGACCAAGGTGGGGAGCTGTTGTGCC